CATTGTATGCCCATTACAAAAATTGTCTACTTGCCTTTTTTTAGCAGACACCGTTTTAGGTTATTGTCGGTAAACTGAAAGTTTCAGTTGGACTGTTTTGTTGCTGTCTCTGTCGATGCCTCTATACAAGATGCAAAAAGCTTTTATACTGTGGAAAGTTTTTGTCGTTGGAAAAGATGTTGGTGCTTAAACAACTTAAGAAATTAAGGAACCACTACGACAGGTGTTGAGGCTAGAGATACCCGCTACGCTAAGTGCCAAAAAAAAGGAGAGAACTTTTTTAAGATTATGAAATTATAAGAAATTGTGAAAAGACAATCATTTTTCGGTAACCCCCCAAAGATATAATGCAATATACCAAACAAGTAGGAAAATGTAAATGTACAGCTTAGAATAAGTGCAGGCCACTATTGAATTTTTAAAAAAGCTTTACTTCTATTCACTGCTGTGTAGATAGACTAGTGTACAGACTGTAAGTCAATATATATAGATATTTCTTAGAGCTTTTTTTTGTCTGTCTCAGGAAGTTAATTCCGTGAACGAGCCATCTCTTTTTACGTTTGGTGACGGGTTTTAGATCGACTTTTAAGAGAAAATACCCTTCTGTAAATAAGACATGCAAAGCATTGTAAAGTGTTTAGTTGGCGATTAAGAAAGAAAACATCGGAGAGAATAAAAAGTTTATTCAGGTGCTACAACTCTTAAAGGCATCTTAAAGTTTCCTTTAACTCTATAAGAAAAACAACAACAAGTGGTGTTGGAATTTGTTGATTTGTACATTCAATATAAATGTTGTCATTTTTAGTACATGTTTCTGCAATGGTGAGGAAATGTGCTTGCTTGATTCAGCTCTGTGCTAATTATAAGGCCACACGAAAACAAACAAACAAATGGTAATTGCTAAAATACACAGCGAGTTTTGCTATGCAAGCCAGTAGGATGTATATTGGTGTTAAAAAAGACAGGAATAAAATGGACAATCTATATTTTGTACCGTTGGCGGCTTGGTCGCTCCATATTATATTCTTAGCGAAATCAATTTGTATATTGCTTGATGCAGATTATGATGATGTATGTTGTAAATATTTTATAGAGCGCTGTCAATTTTTTTAATGTATGTACGTACGCATGTGAGGATGATGTAGAAAATGATGTAATATATGCAAACAAAAGTAAAAAAAACACACGAAGACTTGGTACGAATAAAAGCATGCGGTATTGTCATGAAGAAAATGAAAAGAAAACCTTATTTGTAAGTCCTGTGCCTTTTATCAATAAAATATTTAACGAAGGTCTTTTGTTGGTGGTATTACTTACGGTTCATTGGGAGTGTTTGTTCATGCAAATACTGAAAGAGGCTGAGAACACAAGAGGTTTGACACCTGTCAGGAGATGTGTCTAGCTGATTGGCTTAACGTTGATGTAATTAGTGTCAAACAATACAAGACTTGGAAGTCAAAATAAGCTGAAATAGGCGGTGACGCGATTCTAGTACTGTATATATCAAACGTATCATGAACATATTTAGGTCTGGGGACTAATGACTTAGAATACTGAAGTTGATTAAGTAAGCTTTTGCAGAGTCCACATGCATCCAGCGTTTAATGACATAATATGATATGAATTTTTATTGCATGTTCTTGCCCAGATGGGCTAAATGCACAAATGTGACCAAATGTGGTCGAGAGGATAAAAACATGATTATTGCATACTGGAACGCTATATTTTAATGCTAAGTGCTAGGAGTCTATATATTACAACAAAACTATATATATACTACCTTTCATAATAGATGTCTATATGGCCCAGAATTGGAAACAATATTCTTACAATGGTCCAATATATAGATGTAGATGAACTAGACTACAGGTTTGATTTGAGTGTGATTCCATCGTCTGAAAGAGCCTGGATACATCAGGATCATCTCCGGTGGATTTGTATTGTTGTTTCAGCGGTTTGGACTAGAATAATACAATGGGACAACAAAAATAACAGCCATACGACAATACACATCATTAAAATATCATTAGATAAGATCTACTTTTTTTCTGATGACCAAACTAAATAGTCAAGGATAAAAACGATTGGAAGCTAACATAAGAGTTTTGTTTCGCTCTTTTGGCAAAGATATCGTACTAAATGTTTCCAACTATTGATAATATGAAGCACAAATTATCCGGCAAATTTTTATTGCTTGAGAACGCACTGCACTGAAATGAAATGAAGCCGTGTAGTCAATCAAATTTTAAACTGCATTGAAGTTAACTCAACAGCAGACTTATACGGCAAGTGACTGTGGCTATGGTGAAAAAAATGAAAATATAAAGGATTGTAGCTTGAATCCATTAAAATACACCCAAAAAGAATTTCAAAAAGGAACTCGCTCTTGACTATGATATAGAGTCATAAAACCACTTAAAACTGTTGCTAAGCTACAAGAAATTTGATCGAGCCTACCTGATAAAATAGTGCACAAAGAGCAGTCCTGTGATCTTTTTTCTAGTGTAGTTCGTGTGTATTATTTTCATTTTGATTACTGTGATTCTTGATTTTTTCACCGTAACTTTATGTTCACTGTTTTCACTGTCACTTCTGTATCGTGAACTTATAATTACAGTTTAATAACAAATAATTCCTGGACTTTCTTTTTCCTGTACCTGTTGCCACCGTGAATATATAGTTCCGTGAACATGTCCATTTTTCTCAGACCGTGAACTTTTGTTACCATGAACGCCACAATCTTTATGTTAGATCCACTCTGCATTTTCCCTCTGCTAGCAATGGAACCGTCCAGTTTTGAGGCACGGCCTAGTTTCTCTACCTTGAAGTCTACAATAACACCGGGCACAATCCGTCCTTTTGAAGTCAGCTGGCCGCTGTAAGCGAACCCTTCTCTGATCACAGTGCCAGTCTTTACACAAACCCAAACAAAAACGGAGAGGTCGACCTCTAAACAAGCTAACATGTCAAGGACCAGCGGAAGAGGCATTGTACCTCATTGTCTCCTGTAGTCTTTGACATTTGTACGTTATTTTACTTTGAAAGGCGAACTCTTTAGGTGTGTTTTGGGTGGAGTTGTGCTCTATGTACACATAACACTCGCCTTGAGTGCTTTGACTTCCTAAGCAGCCAATATGTTGTTAGCAAAATGGAAAATGTAAGGAATGTTTGACAGTTTTGTGAAATCTTTGGGAAATTGTATTACAGGTAGAATGTAAGTAAATTTTACTCCAATACTCTATCAAAACTCGGTTTCAAATGTTTAACAGTAATTCATACAAATACCGTATAATAGCTGAAGATGTGTATACTAAGAATAAGAAATTGCTTGAGAGACGGAGAGTTTTAGTAAGTGTTTTGGGACGTGTCACAAATTGTTTCTGTTGAAAAAAAATACAAATGGCCGAGACAAGGTTATGGGAAGATTCGGGACCTTTCGTGCGACCTTCGGGTGTTTTCGGAGACCTTCCCGGCGTGCCCCACCTGTCTTCACTTAAACTTTTAACGACAGGAAAATGTCGCCGGTGTAACTTTTCAGACAACATAGTTTAAGTAATGAATGGAAAACTTTTATTGTACGTTTGTGCCCTAACAAGCTAAGTACAGGCCATGAATTAAAACAGGGAAAAATAGTACAGCAATAACACTTGCTAATGTGGTCTACTATTTACATGTTCGACTTCTTCTCGCTTCTTTAGGCAGTTATAGATGCAAGAACATATTGGGCTAATGATACATTGTTTGTCAAGTTTCATAAGGAATGCGAATTTTTCTATTTTGTCTAAATGTCTAAAGTTTGGGAACTCTATTATACACGTATAGAGGGAATCCCTCTCATTTCTATATAAAGCGATTAAGACTATAGTAATTTTTGTACAAGAATCTTTTGTAGCTAATCTCCAAGCAGATATAGGAACGTGAAATTATGGCGTTTTGTGACACCTATGTTCTTATGATAATTGTGTGTATACGGACGAAAAAAGCCACATTTTCCCATCCTATATATATATTATAACATCTACTTAGAGAGTTGAAAGTTAAGAAAAGAACGCTTGCTTGGAAAACGGTGGAGTTTAGCTATTCAATCACATTTCGCCTGCAGCTTAAGCTTATATGAGTTTTTTTTCTGTTGTTGGTAATAGTCAAATAATACATAGCATAAACATATCCTCAGTAACTCGTAACTCGTAACAAATCAAAGAAATTGCAATGGATTGAAAATGTAACGCCTTTAAGCAAATTTTGACATAAAAAACTTGACAAGAGTTTTATCTTATCAGATCTTCTAAGCATATCTTACAGTTTTTGAAATTAGTTAAAAAACATGGTCTATTTTTCACTTTTCCTCGCACAATCTAGAAAGTTCGTTGTGTACGTTGAAAAAAGTACATGTACATGTAATACTGGAAAGGTCAATGACCTCGTTCATACAGGTCTTAAAGTTTGGCATGTGGTCTCTTTACTTAAGATTTCAAGGTTTTCAGTAGCAACAATAAGAAAATGCACGTAAAAAGATGAATGCGTCATATGTAATGACGTACGATATATACATTTATGACGTAGGGGAAATACAAAAAGGAAATTAAAGACGGTTCTAGATAGACGTCATGAAGGCACGTAACAAGCATAACATCAATTACGTACATAACTTCGCTGTGTAACTGTTGAATAGCCAGGTTTGACCGTTGTGACCTCTGGAATCCTGTCGGGGTAACAGT